CTTAACAAGAAATACACTACTAATAAAGGTTGTAACCAAAGCATCACCGTTACATTGCAGTCCCAGTTTTCTTCATTTCTGGACCTATTGACTCCGAACCTGTTTGTACACGTTAAATGATCGGATTCCTTGTCAAAAACCCTATGAAATGGACTACTCAATGGCGTTATTTGAACGTAAAATGAACGAGATATTAATAAAACAAGTTTTTCTACATTATTATAAAATAAATTGTACTTCCCTTTTTATTCTTCGTTTCACTTTGGTAATGTAATATTTATCAAGCTCAATTATGCTCTTATTAAATAAAAGTTTTACTCTGAGGTATTTCAAGAAAATTGTTTTGAGTGTCTTTAAACTCGCATAACAACGCATGTGTCATCTTTATTAGCCATGAAATTGGGAGGCGTGACAGATTGGTATCAAAGCAAAAGTTTTCATTTTTAAAAGAAAGAAAAGGACATCATGGCAAGAGAATTGAGTTGATAAGAAAGAGCATCTATGTATCAGCAATGTGTTGTATCACCTAATTATTTTTTCATGATTAAAAGGGTATTTTGGAGTCAACATTTGTTATTCATGCATTAATTGAATTTGGTTGTAGATATGCTAAAACCATTAATTTGAGATCAACCACATGTAGATTTTTTTTGTGTGCCTATTATACATACATTATAAACGTTTTTGTTATGTACAGACATGTACAACCACAATCAAAGTTTCATGCCTAACTAAGAAATTTCAAAAGATGTATGAGCAATTTCATCAACATGCCAGAACCTTGGCGCTTATATATTACCGTAAATGTGTGCCATAAGTACCCTTCAAGTAATCTGGATGAGCTCGCAAATAACCATGCAGTTGAGGGACTTAACATTTGGACCGATGTCAGCTTAATCTTAGCGGGATGGCTAAGGTACTAGGCATATTGGGCAGTTCCAAGTTATGCGCAACCTGCGCAATCTGAACCGCCCGTGACGGGATCAATCAATGATCTTATAGTTTCTCAAATGTATGATAAACCGTCAACTTCTGGAAGGCCATGAAAGAATAAGACTACAACTCGTATAAATGTTGGTCGTCCCCCTAATGGACTTAGAATTTCTAATTATTTGCTTCCCAAACGTGGAGGCAATTCTCAAAGAGCCACACCAACCCTGAAGTCTTAAATTCTTCATAGTAGAAGTTCTTAGGAACTCTACTTTTAAATTCTTGTTTTGTTTGCTTAAACGTAGAACCCGTTTAAAATAGATTCATTAATGAATTTAGGAGAAAAAAAAAAAAGGGAAGATTTTGTCAAAGCTTTTGCAAGAAGGATGGAGGTGAATCAACTTGGTGGGAAGCTAGGACGACTCGTGACGCATATTCGAAACTTAGGAGCAAGAAGTTTCTGGAGGCAAACCCTATAAGGCAAAAGAATGGATTTACAACCTGAAGATTCATTTTGAACTGATGGATTGCACTCAAGTAGAATTCCGTAAGATAGTTGTTTGGTTGTTGGAGGAAGATGCTCGCTACTGGAGATTCTATTTCTTGACCTTTAGGAAAAAAAAAACAACCAAAGTATCCTTAGACGTATTTTGAACTATTTGTTTTTACTCCTTAAATACTTGACGCTAATCTTTCAAACGTTTACCTATGACGTTAGTTATAGGATTAAAATACGAATAGCTTGAAAAGAAACGTGCAATCGGATAGTTTAATTGGTCATACAAATGCAAGTGGATGGTTCATGAAAGATTTCAATTTGATATCCATTGCAAAGTTTCTTTAAAATGTTAGCCATTTGTATTTGCAAGTTTATGACAAATCATTTGTATTTGCAAGTTTATGACAAACCGTCTCTCTCAGTACTCATCTTTCACTACAAGTGTAATAATTGTATCTTATACTTCCTTGCTTAAAAGATTGAATTATATTGTCAAAACTAACTCAACAACAATGAAATTCCGTCACTTCAGTATCTTTGAAAAATTATAATGATCAATGGGTTTTAGTTAAAACAGAACATATAATCTTTATCTACAATAAAAATGCTTCAAGTTAGCTTTTTGAATCAATTAAAAAGATTAAGGGATGAGGAAGTTATGGCCATCTTAAGTTTGTATCAACTTTTATCAAAGCAACTAACACAGTTTTTATATATTTCTTTTCAGTCGTAACTCTTTACGCTTAAGCAAATATAATTACACCATGTTATTCTACATAAAAAGTTCTTAAGCTTTGGCTCTTGAATCATTAAAAAAGGTTATGAAACAAGAAAGTTTTTATTAAATTAAAATTACTCAAAATCTTGAAAGATTTCCAACAAACTGTTTAATTTTAAAGAGTGCTTAATAATTATAGTTTTAACTTTTCAAATGATGTAAAATCATAAGGGAAATAATCTTTTATGTGTCCTCACCTTAACCATTACTTTAAAAATGAAAATGTTCTAGTAATAAGGATTGAAAATCAATTCTTTTCGAAGCATCCTAGGTAAGTCTGGTCAAAAAACTCTTATGAATTTCGAAAATTCAAATACTTACCAAGAAATACACTACATAATAAAGTTTGATTACAGTGTAGGTCCAGTTTTCTTCATTTCTGGACCTATTGACTTCGAACCTACTCAATGAACAGCTTCATTGTTATAAGCCCTATGAAATAGCCTACTCCATGGCATCATTGAAACGTAAAATGAACGAGATATTAATAAAATAAGTTGAATGGTTATAAGGGCTGGTTTGGTATGGCTGTGTTTTGAAAAAAAAAACTGATTATGCTGTGCTGTGAGAATAAGCAGCTGTGAAATAAAGCAGCAGAGTGTTTGGTAAACTTTTTTTGTAAAAATGCTTTTGAAAAAAAAAAGCAGTATCATAGTGTTTGGTAAATTTTATGTAAAACAGATGTGAAAAACAACCGGTTTTTCAAAGCTGAGTTTGCAGCTTCTTGTTTTTGGCTTTTTTTCATCCAAAATTATGAAAAAAAACTGAAGCTGAATGTTTCCCAAACACAAAAACAGCTCCCAGCTTTTTTTGATACTAGTATTTTTCAGAATCACCTTAGTACCAAACCAGGCCTAAAGGGATCCTGACAAGCTTTTTCCCCACATTTTGAACAAGAAATTTTTTTCCACTTTAAATTACTTGTATGTACTTAAGCTTATGTTTCTTTATTCTTATGTATTATAACATACACTTTTTGTTTAGATATTTGTAAGTTAAAGGCTTGGAACTTATATATTCCTCTTCTGATATTTATGACCTTGTTGAGTACAGTTTAGCAGTCTACGTAATGATGATGGTCAGTATATTACCCCATATTAAAATGTTACTGGTATTGGAAGATTGCTAAGGGTCCTCGTCCCTTTAAATATTGCACTATTATACTCATGAGTTTACCGGTCCTCGGGTATATACATGCTTTGGAATACTGGTAGTTTAAATCTGAGCGTAGTGCCGCTTCTAACCTATTATTTTACGGGTTCAATGGGTGAAGTTTTAGTTTATAACGTGATAAAGAATAGAAGATATACATACTTAATACGTTCCTATATATAAATCCATGCTAAACCATATATCTTATTCGAGTAGTGTTTCATTTCATTGATGGGTGTTTTAGCGTTCAGTAATGACCTTTCTTAAAAGCTTAGTTGTATACGTTGGTTTTGTTGTAGTTACTTATTTTGTGCAACTCATAATGCTACACTTCTGTCTTTTTCAAGAAACGAATAGGAGACGGGAAAGACTATGAAATAAAATATTATCATTGGGAGTTTTTCTAAATTATTATTTAATGAATTGTACTTTCTTTTTTATTTTTCATTTCACTTCGGTAATGTAATACTTATGCAAACTCAATTATACTCTCTTATTAAATAAAAGGTTTACTCTAAAGTTCAAAAATATGGGCACAAACTAAAATAAATAAATAAATCGTACATATTAAAAAAAATTGCAAATTAAAAATAGGTACAAATTAAAAATAGAAATATATGATAGAAAATTTAGTCATAAATATTAAAATACTAGATGTAACGTTTCTAAACTCTTTTTTTTATTATTATTTTTAACGTTTCTAACTCTAAATGTTTCTACTTGTCAATAATTAAAGAGTTTTTATTATAAAAATTATATATGCTGACATGTAAATATTTTATTATTAAAAATAGCACATGCCTACACACTTTATGTGTGTGTGAATATTTTTTATTTGTTTTTAAAATAGGAAGGAGAGAATGAGGGAGAGGACGTGAGAGTGAGAGTGGGAAGAGAAGTTCTTGTTTTTTATTCTTAGTTTTACTTGTAATATTTTTTTAGAAGATTATTTTTTAATAATAGATATATGCTAAAATCACTTGTAGTTCAATAAAAACGGCAAAATTTGGTTTTGTGGAATTACATTATTGCTCACCATATTTTTCTGTGATAGAAGATTAAATAGTTTTTTCACCTTGTTTTGGTTGACAAAGAATAGTGATGTGGAAGATCTACATTTTTTAAGTAATGTTAGAGAAATTAAATTTGGAGACTAGTTATCAATAAGAATAAACACGTTTATCAACGTAAGTAATAAACCAATCATCAAGTTCCATATTTTTTTTAGTTTTCAAAATTTAGTCTCTCTAGGATTACTCAAATTTTTTTTAGGGTAATGCTAAGGAGACTAAATTTGTACACAAAACTTTGTAAACTAAATGACATGGACATTGAAGATAAACTTGTTCATTCCTTGGTGACACATCATTTAGTTTATAAATTTTATCTACAAATTTAGTCTCTCTAGCCTTACCTATTTTTAATGAGTAATTTTCTTTTCCAAGTAAGCCACTTAGTACTAGTACAGTCGAATGATATTTCTCTTTACTTGAAAATGAGAGATCTTATGTTCGAATCTGGTGGATGGCGAATTTGATACCAAATTAGGCTGCCTATTGTGTGGTTTAGCCGAATGCCCACTCTCTTTCGATATAAAAATATCGATGTCCTTGGGAACAAAAAAAAAAAAAAAAAGAGAGAGAGAGAGAGAGAGAGGAAAAAGAAAAGAAGGCTAGGAGGCATTATGAATTTGGAGAATTGGGAGCAGTAATTACATTTTCACCACCACAGCCATGGACGACGATGAATTTCGACGCCTACTCGATCTCTTCCCTATCGTCCGATCTCGCCACTACCATGTAACCCCCACTCTCTTCACCAAAAGAAATTGTTTTCCGTTGCCTTTTCTTTCTTTCTGGTTGTGATGCTTTATGGAATATGGTTATCTTGTTCGTTGTATCAATTAGAACGCATCGTTGAATATTTAATTTGTGGAATCTGGCAATCGTTAAAACTTGTTGGGCAGATACAGTATCTACTTTTGAGATAACCCTTTAACATTTCCTATTGTTAGAAGGTGTAAAGATTGGATTTTGATTGTTAAAAGGAAAAATATTGGATTTTGATAGGGATTTCGGTATGCTGCTGCTGCTCTGCTGCAGCTGCCGATGCTGTGCGGGACTATAAAAATTATGTATGCATGCTCAATTAGGAGTGAGAACCTTATGGAAGGTCTAGGTTTTGAGTCCTGGATGATGCTGAACAAGCGGCTAAGGAGGCTGTGCGGACAAATTGATTTAGATGGATGATGGGTAGCATTAAGTAGTTTTGATGATGTAGATACCATATTGAGTCAGAGAAGAAAAATGGTTTCAATCAACTTGGTTAAAGTTTAGAGTCACTCAGTACTACAGTTTGGTGGAATTCCTCTTCACTTGTAAGTGAGAGATCTTAGGAATGATGAATTCGATACCAAATTAGGTTTTGTGTGGCTTAGCCGAACTCCCCCCTCCCTTTAGTGCAAAACATACCGTTGTACTAAAAAAAAAAAATTTTGCATTGGCCAACGTCAAGGATGCATATGAAAATGCTGAAATTTTCATTCTTGTTGACTTGTCTCTCCTTATTGGTGATGGTCAGTTTTCAGGGTTAGAAGATGAGTACCTTAATTAGGATTTATTTGGTTTATGTTGGATTATATTAGGGATCCAAAATACTTATTCAGGTTGGGTGTGCCATCCTTGTTTCTTCTTCCTCTTCTCTCTTGGTATTTTGAATGGATATGGGTGGAAATCAAGCACATGTTCTATTGAAGGCCTTTATCAGGGATAAATGGGAATATGTCAATGGTACAGTACTTCACCCCTACTATAGTTATGTCTTCAAAAGGGGATCTATATTGGCGGAGGGGTGAAGGTTCTGTTTAGAAGTGATGGTCTTTGGCATAGTTGATAGTATACCTCAATAAATAGTGGTTGATGTGCTTGAAATGCTGGTGAGTATACATTTTATCCGGACACAGGTAAACAGGCATCCTATGGAATAGTGTTCAGATTGGTAAGCCGTTGTATTGTTATCTCTTTGTGGACTTTACATGATTTAACAGCTGGTAGGTTAGAGGTTCTTTAAGTGTTCTAAGTGGTTAGCTTGTCTGCCCTGTATCGTTATTTTAATCCTGAAAAGATCTGTTTTCCATGCAAAAAAGATAGCGCAAAACGATTCCCTACGTTTGGCTACCTGTTTTAAGCATGGCAGGAGATCTACAAGGAAAATTTTTTTCAACTATCACTGCACTTTGTTCAACTTTTATGTATGAATCCAATATTTAATATTCATTATTAGAGTGCCATTATGTTAACTTTCACACTTGTTTTCCTGGTCTGTTTGTAGTTGATTTGAGTTTGTGTGCTAAAACGAATATTTTACATAATATCAAGTTTTTACATGATATGTTTTTTTTAATTAACATTTTCAGTCTCTGAAGGGATGAAATCAAGTCTGTAAACTAACTAACTTGGTGGAATTTAATAATGAGAGACCTTTCTTTTGCTGTTACAAAACTATTGTTGCGCTTTTTCTTGGATCCATAAGGTTTGGCTTGTTTCTATTAGTCTTTTAAACCTTTTATCTGGTATCATTGACGTGAGCATCAGATCAAAGAAACGGCATCACGGTTTTGGACATAAATCTCACATTGATATTGTTCAAGGAAGTAGAAAGCTTCATGGAATTTGATTGTTGTAGGAAAAAATTTGTGAGGCTCAGAATCATTTCTTGAGTTTCTGCAATGTCAAAGTTCTGAGATGGTTTACCTAGAGCTTATAAAATTCTTGTCCTATTGCTGAAAATTAAATTCCAGGTATCTTAAATGATTCTAAACAATTTGGTGGAGCGATCAACCCATTTATTCCGTTGGAATTGACCATTCTTTTACTAGTTATTATGAATTTTTTTGGTTGATTATATATGCATCAGCCCATTCTTAAACCACTTTGTGTAATTTTAGGGTGAATCAGAACAATCTAGAGAATCAACTTCTAAGTCACCACAGCATGAAGCGGTATTACTGAAATTTTGTAAAAATTTCCATTTTACAGTACACACATTCACACACGTGGTGCTTGTTGACATATTTGAATGTTCTCAACAGCTTAAAGGGTGGCAGGATGCATGGGATGAGGATAAAAGTGAAGTGGAGAAGCAAGGAATTGGCGAACATTGTATGTTTTAACATACGCACTCTCTATATTCATCTGCCATGGATAAATTATTAACAAAAACGAAATTCCACCAGTTTGCTGGTATTTTGTGGAAGTTAAATTTATTGCACTTATCTTAATGTGTAATTACAGGTGAATTCTGGGGGAAGATAAAGTTGGTTGCTGAGAGAAAGGTTTGTCCATCTTCGCCTTTGATTTTCTTGGTTTTCATTGGATATGTGGTGACTGTATTTTACATAATATGAATTTCGAAGACCATTACACAAAACTTTTGTACGAGGTTTTGAAATTAATTGAGTTGATGGAGACTTGTGCAGTTGAAATGAACATATAAGAAACAGCAGAGATCTTATGCAACTCAATTTTTTTTTTCCCTCTCTTTGCTAGTTCATAATAAAACAAGTCTAGATAGAGTGACTACAACCAGCAGCTCCAGAATAAGTCCTCTTGGCCTTACCTCAAAAGAAACAAAAAATTAAAACTCACTTTGTTTTCTTGTTTGAGTAGTTAAAACGAAGAACACCTCTACTTTGATTGGCCATTATACAGAAAAATGGTGCGATTCTTGATTCCAGGTATGGCTTAGTGACGGCCTGGAAGGCTTGTCCTGATTATCTTTCCATTGCTGGAAAGCATTCCAACATGAAAAAGAAATTTCTTGAGCCAGCAGAGCTGAAACTGTAGAATGCCTTGGGAGCTTCGTAAAAATACAATTCATCTATACAATTAGATAAAAGCAGAGGCAGGGATGGCTCTCGTTTTGAGCTAGTGACTCTTGAAAGGAATTGTGAAACTTGATTTCACTATTCCAAGAAGTTATCTTATTTCTTCAATGCTAATTCTTTACATATAGTAAGTTAGTAACCAAATCGATCACAAAAAAATAACACTCTGTCGTAATTAAAAGAAAAAAAAATAGTAATGTTAACAGAAGCCTTGGCCTGTGGACACTGCTTGGTGATAAGCTAGTGTATGTAGTAGTTTTTTTTAGGTTGTTTGTTACGTATGTGCATCCACATACACGTGTGCGTGCATTATCGGTACTTTTAAGTGGTATCGTATTTGTTAGTCGATCATATGTATCAGTTTTCAGCTGTTCATCTGTTTGTAAATTTTGCGTTGTTCAGTGATGCCTTATTTACAAATGGAATTAACTGAAATTGAGGAGACTCTTTCTCAACTACAAAGGATGAAATAAATGAAACAAAAAATAAAGTCGAATAGTTTCGGTTGTCCCAATACAAATTTTGGCTCGAAGGACAATGGAGAAATATGAAAGGAAAACTCACTGCTTATCCTCAATTGTTTAGGTGGGTGCTACAGAAGCGGAGAGATTTTGCAAGGCGTTTCAACGGATTCATAAGAGACTTGTATGTAGAATATGTTTTTCAAGGAACAATAGTCATAAATACGAATTTAGTTTCTGTCTACATTGCTGAAATTCCTCGATTCTATTTGCTTCAGGTCTGTGAAGGACTCAGTTTGGATGCTGCCCAAAAATTCCTGAACTTGTCGTGATCTGTACCATAGATTCTGTGTGCTTTTGTACATTTACATACTTTTGTGTATGGTGATTAGAAGCTTTTTCCTTCCTCTTCCTCCAAGGAAACTCTCGTGTCAAGGAGTTTCCGGCGACCACCCCCCTTTGATAGACAACTGAGATTAGACCCTTGTGATTGTATGAACTTTGTTAAACCATTCTTACCTGAGCTAATAGGCGATTGTTGTTGGGATTGTTTTGGACCTTCACAAGTGACAAGTTTACCTGTAAGTATAATCGTGGTTTTCCATCTGTTTTGTTCGTTGAACGCCAATCTATGACAACGCTATACGAGTCTTCCTTTGACGTTTTACATTTTCCTTGTTTACAGTTAATAGAAAAGGGATGGAAAAATAGTACACGAATCACTTGTACTTACAAGGAGATTTGATGAAGGTGGATATAAGTTTAGTGGAGGGAGCTTCAACACAGAATCGCCGAGCTAAGGGTTTTGGAGGGTTTTTGGAGCCTCTCCAGCTTCAGAGAGAGAGAGCGTTATCACAATAATATTTCTAGAGGTGATTGGTTAACTTAACTATTTTTTAGTTACCGTGGAAGCTTGCGAACCTCCACGGTAACCAAAAAAATGTCTAATTTGTTAAAAAATTCCTCTCTACCAATGCTCACCACTAGATTAATTTCATTGGTTTTAGTCCTCAAATATATCATTTTATAAGAAACAGTACCAAGTTAAGGTCATCTCCAATGGATAGAGGTAAGGGTTGAAAAGCTAAAAAGTTGCTTGATTTGTCCAAAAATTCATCTTCATCCAATGGTTGGGCTATAATTCTGTAAAGCCCACCAAGTCATTATTTGGCTAAAGAGGCATTAGACTATCCAAATGTACCCTCCTCTTAGCCATTTTTTGGGACCCAACTCCTCACTTGCAATAATTTATTCAAATTCAACTGCTAGATTTGAAAACATCCAAATGTAGTTTAATTGAATTAACTAATAAATTTAAAGTATAAACTAAAAACTATTAAATTATTGAGGAGACTATATTGAGCCCATTCAATTGGAGATAGTATATGAGTATGGTCTGACACTGTGCTTAAAAAATAATTTTTTGCAGGGTTATAATTCTAGATGGGATTATAACTAGCCATTTTGGTTGAAAATGACCTAAAATGTGCACATTTGCCGAAAGCTCTTCAATTAGAGATTATTTTGTTCGTTTTTAGGGCTAATATTGGCCCAAAGCCCTTCGATAGAGATAACCTTGAATAACCTCATGTTTTTATCAACAGTTAAAAAAAAATAAAAATAAATCAACGTAGTACTAAAATTTAAAGAGTTACTTGACAATAGGGAGACAACATTTGCCTCTATTTTACGAGAACAATTTGTATGACACGGATTCACAATTACGTTCTGTGTCAAGAACACAAGAACAGGGTAAAAAAAGCCAACACATATCATTGTATAATTAGAATGAAATGCCATTTAACGATATGCCTGTACAAATCTTTTTCTCATTTTACCCTCCATCCAACGAAAAATAAATAAAAAATAGAAAAGTAGGGATACAAGTAGCAAAACTTACCTTCCATGGGAACAAGGGTAGAGGCCAACATTGACCAAAAAAAAAAAAGGATAGCCCCCAACGTGGAGGTATATGGTAATTCTTTCCTTCCATGAAAACAAAGAGACAATTGGAGATTGGACAGCTTCCAAGTAGAGAGGACACTAATAGCACCCAATGTTTCTGATATGAGTTTTTCTACAACCGCTAATTAATTTATTACCTAAATTTTTTAGATCTCAATTGATATGGAGTGGTCCATTTGTTCTTGTGTTCACCCACTTTGAACCTTATCTATTCACCACGTATAAGATACGACAATTTAGTATAAAGTAAATTTGAATAATAGTTAGCCTCTATGATGCAAATTTGGATTTGTCAAGTTTGCCCAAACAAATGTGTTCCTATTCTACACTCGAATTTAAATTTAACCGACCGTAATTTAGGTTAATTTAGCGTAGGTTAGCGCACGAACTTTCCACTCTAGAATGAATACTCATCATTTGTGTGTCCTAGATTGAATCATCATGGATCTCATTGTTTTACAACATTGTGAATATTTACGTAAAACCGTGAGATATTTTCTGAAATACAGCAAGATGATTTTAGGATCACAGACTCAATAAATCAATTATACAAGAAGAATCGCCACACAGCCAAGAATGTCTTTACTCTCTCCTTTAATTTAAGTGCTCTTGCTATTGAATAGAATTTAGCATTGAAAGTGCATATATTGTGAGAGCATAGACAAGTCCTTATATAATGGTGAAATAAACCTCTCATATATTTACCCTAAAAGAGGCGGGAATAAATTGGTTGGCGAACTCGTCATTTTCGAGATTTGAACTTAAGACCTTTTAAATATTAATGAAGACGAATACAATTTAACCGTAGTATTAAGTGGCAAAAAAATAACACAAATAAGAATATTATTTTGGCCATGATTTTTTTTTTGGGGGTGTTACAAAATTGCATGAATACCAACTTAAATATAAAATTACATGATGTAAACGACAAGAGACATTGATACTAAAATAGTCTTTACAGCAAGTGGCCCTCTACCACAATGGTGAAGAGGAATGTTGCCTTTACACTACAACGTGGATTTGAACCTCGTCAGCTCCCTAATCTAACATCTAATTGAACAAATCAATCGTTTAACAAAACGAAAGTGGAGAAGCAAGGAATTGGCAAACATTTTATGTTTTAACATACGCAATCTCTGTATTCATCTGCCGTGGATAAATTATTGACCAAAAAGAAATTCCACCAGTTTGTTGGTAATTTGTGGTAGTAAGTTAAATTTATTGCACTTATCTTAATGTGTAATTACAGTTGAATTCTGGGGGAAGCTAAAGTTGGTTGCTGAGAGAAAGGTATGTCCATCTTGCCTTTAATTTTCTAGGTTTCCATTGGATATGTGGTGACTATATTTTACATTTAGTATGAATTTCGAAGACCATTACACAAAACTTTTGTATTGTGTCAAATTTTGACACAACTGGTTTCTGAACATTTTGAAACATAAGACGAACATAAATTTTGACACAACAGATGAATTCTGGGGGAAGCTAAAGTGGGAACATGTGTTCGACCACCACAACCACTTGCACATGCTATATAAGAGCCCTATCACATTTTTGTTTAGTAAATAAATTGTTGTCTATCAAATGATAGTTACTTGGAAGGAAAACTAACTACTTGTACTCAATTGTTTAGGTGGTTTTCGTGCTAGATTTGTCCCTCGCACAACTCCCATGGGTCTTGCCTTTCAGTCAAGGTCTGCTGCTTGGTGTACTGCAATATGAGTTTGTTATTAGTTTGAACGGTGCCTTTGTGGGGCCTTTGTTAAGCCTTGAGGCTCACAATCAAAGGTAATATGGATATGAGCGTGTCACTGTTATCTTTGTATAACATATTGTTCTTTATTTGTTATTAACTGGGTTGATTACTTGCACCACAAGTTACTTAGACTTCTTGATTCTATTGAATTATTACAAATGGGTTAAGTCTGTATAAAGTTCTTTTTCTTGCCTTGTAAACAACGACTTTTACTCATAATATCGTATGTCCAATTAAAGGGAGTTCAGGGCCCTTCAAATTATCTCTTTGGTTATGGCTAACACTAAAGAAGCAAAGTTAATTTGTTCAACAAGATTAATCATAGTTGAAACTTTGAACAAAAAGCAATCGAAAATGATGTAAGATACAATGAAAAATGCATAAAACAACAAATCAGTTTATGTAAGTACAAACAAAAGAGACTCGGGCAAGATTATGACCTTGTCAGGCAAGGTTCGTCTTCTTGCAACCACTTCTCTTTGTATTTTACAGGGTTTGTAATCTTTGGAAAATGAAATGTAAATCGGGTTTACTAAAGGGATTCGATACTACAACATTGGGAAAGGTAGTAGAACTTCTAAAACTTGACAAAAGATAGCTTTCTATGGTGGACCTTTTACTGAAAGGGTAGAGTCTAGACAAACTAAAGCTTTCTGGTTTCTTGCTTGTCTGAGAGAAAAGTTGGATGTCTTTTGATTGATTGGTTGAGTGTCCTTGTCCATTGTGTCCCTCGTCACTTTTATAGCCTCTCTAGCCCGACTATCCAAGCCTTGCCTTTTAGTGATGGCCTCCGGAGTATGGTGAGTCACCATTTATTTACCTATCCATGCCCTTGAAAAGTGTTTTTTGCTGGGGATGAGTTGCCCTTTGAGTGTCACTTCTCACATAGGCTTGTTGCCTATTCCTTGGCAAAAATGATTTTTAATTCTTCCTGGGCTATCGACTTGTCCGAGCCCAATCCTCTTTCTACTTTATGCGTTCTTGGGCCTCTGATCACACTAAGCCCAGCATTAGATATCTACTCAAACGTGTCGTGTGGGTGCTGCAGAAGCGGATAGATTTTGCAATGCATTTCAACGGATTCATAAGAAACTTGTATGTACAATATGTTTTTCAAGGAACAATAGTCGTAAAGACTAATTTAGTTTCTGTCTACATTGTTGAAACTCCTTGTTTCTATTTACTTCAATTCTATGAAGAACTAAGTTTAGATGCTGCCCAAAAATTCCTCAACTCTTCGTGATCTATAGCGGAGATTTTGTGTGCTTTTGTACATTTACTTACTTTTGTGTATGGTGCTTTATAAGCTTGTTCTTTCCTCTTCCTCTAAGGAAACTCTTTTGTGCCAAAGGAGTTGAAAGGTGATTGTTGGTGGGAATGTTTTGGACCTTTACAAGTGACAAAATGAATGGAGAGCACATTTCTAGCTCTTGAAAAGTTTACCCCCAAGTATAATCAAGGTTTTCCATCCGCTGTTTTGTTCGTTGGCGCCAACCTATGACAATGCTATACCAGTCTTCCTTTGACATTTCACATTTTCCTTGGTTTATTTTGCAAATTAGATACCTTTTTCTATTGGGATTAAACAACTAAACCGAAACTAGAGAAATGTTCATGTGCTTCCCTAGATATGATGACTGCAAGGTGATGTCGGAGCTGGAGTCAGTGGTTTTAGTCCTCAAATATATATTTTTTAAAGAAACAGTTGCCAAGTACCTCTTCACTATGACATCAAGTGGTGGGCTCTATGAAAATGAAATGACCAAAGTGCTTAGAGGTTGACACTTTTTAACCCTTTTGAGAGCTGATTTGAGCCTCTAAGGCGATCTTCAATAGAAAGGGCTAAAAAGTCTAAAAGCCAAAAAATAACTTGATTTGTCCAA